GGCACCGTGAGAAGTGCTGACTCATCACGAGACCATCACCACCATCCAGAGGACAACTGCGGGCATCGCCCATAAGTTTCCTCATGCATGCAGGYGCCTCCCTGCTCCCATTCCACGGGACCATGGTTTTTGCTATCATTTGTAATAAGCAGAATAATTTACATGCATGTCCTCTTCCTTGTCTGGGTTCTTTCCCTGAGCAAAATTATTCTGCATTTCCACCATGTTGAGTCATGGTGGAAATGCAGAATAATTTAATAATAGCCCATTCCTTTTTATTGCTGAGTAGGAGTCCATGATGTACATATATCACAATTTATCCATCCATTCTCCTGTTAATAGCCATATGAATTAGCTTCAGTTGGGGGCTGTAACAAATAAAGATGCTATGAACATTCATAGGAAAGTCTTTGGATGACCATAAGCTCTTATTTCTCTTGGATAGACACCTAGAAGTGGAATGGCTGAGTAATATGGTAAGCACACACCTTATGTTTTAAGAAACTGCCAAGTTATGCACCTTGTACATTCCACCAGCCATATGGGAGTGTTCTAGGTTCTCCAGCCTAGAACTCAATATGGTCAGCCTTTTTAATTGCAGACAGGTGTGTAGTGGTAGCTTTTTTGCTTTTGATTTGCMTTTCCCTAAAGACTAATGATGTTGAACATCATTTCATGTGTCTAGTAGCCAAAATATACCTACTGCARTGAAGTGACTGTTCAAATCTTTTGCTCACTTTTAAATTCAGTTATGTGTTTTTTATTATTGAGTTCTGAGATTTCTTTACATATTTTTGACATGTCTTTTATTAAATATATGATTTGAAAAAAAAATTTCCAAGTGTGCAGCATCTTATCGATGTCTTTCAGCGAGCAGACATTCTTACCTTACTAATCAATTTTTCAATGCCTTCGTGCCCTAGTGCTCTCAGGAGACAAACAGACAGACAGAAACACACACACACACACACACACACACACACACACACACAATGCCTTGTTGCAGTGAGGGAGAATGCTCCCATAGAAATCATGGAGAGTTTTTTACAGGGGGTTAGAAGGCATCTTTGGGGGGATTTGGGCTTTCGTTGGGCTTTTTCGTAATTTTGGGAAATATTTAAGGAATTAGGAATTCACTTTGATTGGGTGCTGTCAGAAATCAAGTGAAATTCTGTGAGTAGGTATCTCCACAGTTCTTGTTTATAAGGAATGTAAACTAGAGCTTTGAGGGAGCTATAATTGGTATGGAGATAGCAATCACTCATTTCTGAAAGAGGGATGTTTGAGGTTTTGAGGGTTGCACAGTGACCCCATTTTTATCTTTATCACATTTTCAGAGCGACTTTGATGTTGGTGATCTGTGACGTTCTTTATGTCCAAAAGAATAATATTAACTAGTTGTTACCTAGTTACCAACTAGTGAACATCAGGCCAACTTTGTACAAACACTGACGATCCACTGTGAGTGTCAGACAGGTTCCCAATGTAAGGGGCTCCCTTGCTTTTTTTTTTTATTCCCCTTTTTTATATCTTGCTTTGCCATCATATCTAAGAACCAAGGTAACAAAAATTCTCTCCTATTTCCCTAGCCTATAAGTGCAATGGTTTACACTTAGGTCAGTCATCCTTTTTGAGTTAAATTTTGTTTTGCTGAGTATAGGTCAAAGTAAGGGTAATTCTTGTTCTGATCTTCCCGTTCTTCTTCTTTGCATATGGATAGTCAATAATTCTGGCATCATTTGTTGAAAAGACTATCTTTTACCCACTGAACAGTGTTTGCTGAAAACCAGGAGCCCATAATTGTGTGTGGGTCTGTTTTTGGAATACATCCTTATCACATAGTTCTACTTGTTCACTGATATCACAACCACACTACCACGATTACTGTAGCTTTAATTAATGAGACATGAAGGCTCTTCTTTGTTCTTTTTTCAAAGTTGTTTTGGGTATTTTAGGTCATCTTCACATGAATTTTAGGATCAGCTTTTGCCTATATATGAAAAGGCATGCTGAGATTTTAATTAAGGTACAGTTGAAACTATAGATCAATTTAAGGGGCATTGACATCCTAATAATGAGTCTTCTGATCTTTGAACAGTATCTTTCTCCATTTACTTATCTTCTTCTATTTCTCTTAGTTGTATTTTATAGGTTTTAAGTGTTCAAGTCTTACATATCTATTTTCATGTTTTTCTCAAGGTGTTTTACATATTATATATTGTAATGATATCATTTTAATTTCAATTTAGTGATATTATACAGAAATAGGCTGTGTTCCAGGGACTACTTGGAGATATGTTAGTTTCCAAATATTTGAGGATTTTCTATATATTTATCTATGGTATATTAATTTTTACTAATTCCTACTTTCAATTCACCATGGGAAGGTACATACTTACTATAGCTTGACTCTGAATGCTTTTAAATTTACTGAAATTTGTTTTATGGCTCAAATATGTTCTGTATTGGAACATGTTCCATGGACACTTGAAAAGAACTACACTCTGCTGCAGTTGGGTGAGGTGCTCTCTAACTGTCAATCAGGTTGAGTGGGTAGTAGCATTGTTTGAATCTTCTATATCCTTAACTTCCCCTTTGCTTGTTATACTGGTTGTGGGGAGAGGGGCACTGACATCCCTGACCATCAGGGTGAATTTATCTATTTTATCTTACAGTCCTACCCGTTTTTGCTTCAATATTTTGAAGCCCTGTTATTAGGTGCGCACATATTTAGGAGTATTATGTTCTCTGAAACAATTAATTTTCTCACTATAAATATTTTCCCGACAATATTCTGGGCTATGAAATCTACAACATCAGAAATCAATGTAATCACTCCAGCTTTATTTTGGTCACAGCTGCCTTTTACCTTTAACTCATGTGTTCATCATATTTAAAATGTTTTTCTTTTTCTTTTCTTTCTTCTTTTGTTTTGGTGGCCACCATGTTTCTTAAATGTAATTTGAAAAATTTTGCCTTTTAACTATGGCATTTAGACTATTATTTTAGCATTAATCGATAACATTAGATTTAAATCTCACATTTTGCTATTGGTTTTCTATTAGTATTATCTAGTATTATCTATCTCTTTTGCCTCCTTTTGGATTGTTTTCTTTTGAATAATTTCATCTTATCCCCATGGTGGGACTTTGATGAAGCTGATTTGTGTTCCTCAGTGGTTGCTTTAGGGTTTAGAGTATACATCTTTAGCGTCACACAATCTTCCTTAGGGTGATATTGTACCTCTTCACACACAGGATTAGAACCATGACCATATTCTTGCATTTCTCTTCTTCTGGTCTTTATGCTATTTTTTTAACACACTGCACTAATGTTATAAATCTCACATTAATACTTTTGCTTCAAAAACTTCTTACTCTTAATACCCATAACTCCAGCAAGCTTCCGTCTCTATTTTCTAAAAAACAAAATTGTCTAAAATAAGAAAAATACGTTCTAAGATTATATGTTTAATCATCTTTGGTATACTTTTTTTTGCAGCAAGTTTAACTCCTCTGAAGGCACCACCCTTTCTTGGTAGTTTGGTTGTGAATTTGTGTCAACAACTTTCAAATACAAGTGAATTGTTACACAGACTGCAGGAAAAAAGCCAGAGAGATTGAAAAAGAAAGTTGGAATAATTCACCAATGAGAAACAGACCAAAAATCTACTTTGGCTACGACTTATCAGTGAAACTAAACAGACAGCAGGAGGAAGAGAATCGTTTATGGAAAAGGGAGAGCATTTGCTCTGTACTTTGTTGCTTCACTATAGGACCAGAGAGGTTGGCCAAAGCTCGTTTTCCTTTTTAGAAATTAGTCTAAAATGTTCTCTCCTTGCTTCCTGAGGCATTTCCTCTCTCCCTAAATGTGATCAGGGTCATCTATATTTCCTTTAGCCAGCAGTTTTATATTTAGAAAAAGCATCACGAATTTTTTAAAAAAGAAATTTCTTCTTGAAATAATGAATAGCTATGGTTTCTGGAGTATGGTGATGTATTTTACTGCATTCCAAAATATAGAATAAAATGGATGCGCGCGGGGGGGGGGGCGGGCAATAGGTAGAGAAGTGCAGGCTATATCCTGATCAATTCTAAAGGCTGGTTAATAAGCACAGAAAGATTTTAATTTAATCGTTGTTTGTACATCAACGCAGCCTTCCACTCCTTCCTCCCTGCAATTCCGACTGCGGGACTCCTTTGCAGGAGACATTTTTAAATACTCTTTCTGCTTCCTAATCAAGGGCACAATATGATTGTGAATTTCTCAAGTCCCTTGTCCTCCCCATACCTAGTTTGGTATTTTCTCATACCCTACATTAAAATCCGAGTTCTAGAGCGTCTCTGATGAAATGCAGAGTGGCGTTCTGGGAGCCCCCCTTGGGCTCCCCAGGTAAGGAAGACAGTTCCCTGAATCAACGCGTTCCCAGTCCTGGTCASTTCTTCCGCCCTCTCTCGAGCAGAGCCACAGGTTGCCCGGCTGCCAGGCCTCCCTCGGGGACAGGCAGGCTGGCGGGCTCTGCGCCCGAGCTGGAAGCCCCCGGCGCGTACCTGCCCGGCGCGCGCCCAGCGGCTCCACGGCGGGAAGCGGAGGCGCGCGCATACGCGCGGGGCCGCCCCGGGGCGAGCAGGGAGAGGCTTGGGAGGAGCAGCTGACGCGGAGCGAGGTTCCCACAGTGACCTGGCTTACGTAAGGCGGTGGGACGCGGGGGGCGCTCGCGTGGGCAGAGGCTTCGGCCGCGCTCGCAGCGCCCGTCCCGCCTCCACCCTGCGGGGTCCTGGCCCCGCGCGGTCCGGCCGCCCACGCCGCGCTGGCCCCTCGGCCCAGCCTTGCGCCCGCCCCCGCGCGTGGTCGCCTCGGCTCCTAGCGCGGCGCCCCCAGACGCGACTGGCTGGTGACGAAGACGGCGGCAGCGCTCCTGCCGCCCTGCTCCGGGCAGCCGAGCATCCTTCCTGCTCCGAGTCTTCCCTCAGGGTCCGCGTCACCGAAGACCCGCGGCTATGAGCCCGGAGCCGGTGCCGCCGCCGCCCCCCAAGTGTCCCCGCTGCGACTGCGGGGAGCCCTTCGCCCAGCAGTTAGAGAAGGGCGACAAGGCCTTCCGCGCGGGAGAATACGAGATGGCAGCCGAGCTCTTCCGCTCCATGCTGGCCGGCCTGGCGCAGCCGGACCGCGGCCTGTGCCTGCGGCTGGGCAACGCGCTGGCCCGCGCCGGCCGCCTCCCCGAGGCCCTGGGCGCGTTCCGTGGAGCCGCGAGGCTCGGGGCGATGCGGCCTGAGGAGCTGGGGGAGCTGGCGGGCGGCCTAGCGCGCGCCCTGGGCCAGCGCGAGTGGCGGCAGTCTCCCCCGGGCCGCGGGACCGAGGCGCAAGGCGAGGGACAGCAGTCCACGGCGCCCATCGCGCCCCGCGACCTGCTCGGCTGCCCGCGCTGCCGCAGGCTGCTGCACAAGCCGGTGACCCTGCCGTGCGGGCTCACGGTCTGCAAGCGCTGCGTGGAGTGTGGGCCCGCGCGGCCGCAGGCGCGGCGCGTCAACGTGGTGCTGAGCTGCGTGCTGGAGAAGTGCTTCCCCTCCGAGTGCCTGCTGCGCAAGCTGGCGAGCCAGGCGCGGACCCTGCAGCGCCAGCAGCAGCCCGAGGCCGCTCTGCTCAGGTGCGACCAGGCCCTGGATCTGGGTGAGTCAGCCGCGGGGCCGGGCCCTCCGGTTCGCACACCTGTCGGGCGCTGAGCGACGGCGCGGGAGGTGGCCCCTGGTCCAGGGTTTTGGAGAGCTTTGTTCAGGGTTGGGAGGAGCGCTTTGATTTCTAAAGGTAGTTGGGTGTTAGCGGCCACACCCTGCAGCCGGGGTGGCCACTCTCAGAAGCGCCCCATTGGCTGTGCCTTTTCCAGGACCTGGGGAAGTTTTCCCAGGCCTCCCTGGGCAGCTGGGTAGGACCTTGTAATTTTGCCTTTCAGCCCCTTCTCAGCTGTTGACCAGGGGGAGGATGACAACGTGTTTTGTCCTCCTGCAGGAAAATGCCAGTAATTGGTCCACTGGAGACCCAGAGCCCAGTGCCTTGTGCTGGGGCAGGATTTGCTTTGGGGTTTCTGCTGGTGTATCCGGGAAGGAACCCCTCCCACTTCACTGTCTCCTGTGCCTCTGGCTCTACCCTCCTTTCTGGGTCAAAGGCCAATAGATGTTGTTCTGACGCACTTAGCTTCTGATAATACTGACGGTGGAGGTTCTTAATCCTTCATCCATTCATTTATCTGGTCTATGACCAGCATCGTGGTCTTGCCCCTCCCAATCACCACCTGTTAACCAATACATAATTTAAAGGAAGACCAGATTCTGCCTTTGTATTTGACTYTGAATGAGTATGCCTGCTCTGTGGGCAGCTGAGTTGGGCTGTGTGTGGAGGTTCATTTTCTGGTTTTATAAAAGGGTTGCAAATCATTTAAATCATTAGCTATGGGGATGTGGCTAATCTTTTGTTACTGGAAGAATCTGTGTGTGAGTATGGCTTTTATTTTAAACCGGGGGTTAAGGTTTACTCTTTTAGAAGACACACTACAAGGTGAAGTTCAGTCATCTTGTAGAACAAGTTCTGATTTAGTAAACAGGTGATAGGTAGCAATATCTAAATTGGGGGATTCTCTGCAAGAATGGAGCAGTTAACCTGTTAAGTCCTTTCATTCCAGATGTGGGACACCTACTTTAAAAAATTGAGCAACAAATGAACCATTTATTTGAAATAAATGTTTTAGCCTTCTGAGAAAACAGGCGAATAATTAGAGCATTTGAAAATATACACATGTATTATACAAAATATATATACATGTCAGATATATAAGCTCCAGATTATAATTTTTCAATCTATTTTAATACATCTATGTTAATTTAATTAAAATATTGGAAGAATTGAAAACATGGAACTAAATGGGTTAACTTGTCTTACATAACAAATATTCTGTTTAATTTCTGTAACCAATATGTCCACACTTTAACAGATTGTATATTTTCAGGTTTTCAGCTATCTTATTTATGCATTTATGGTGTAGAGCAGCATTATCAATAGACTATAGTATAAGCCACACAAATAATTTAAAAATTTCTGGTTGCCGTGTTATAAGGGTAATAAAAACAAATGAAATTTATTTTAACTGTATATACAAAATATTATTTATGTGTCTTCTATATAAAATAAAGATTATATATATTTTATTCACTGTACTCCTCAATTCAGTCCCTAAATTTTCACTTCCAGCACTTTTTCTGGATTTAAAAGTTGGAGAACAGGTAGAAAATGAGAACTCTCCTGTGGTGCTGGTGAGACTACAGATTATACCCCTGGGAAATTGTTTAGTATCTACAAATGTTAAATAAGACCTTTGACCAAACAATTTCAAAGGGGTGCATGAATATATGCACCAAAAGACTATACACGAATGTAAAACAGTGCATATCATTGTTAAAAATACTCCTAATGTGGAAATAAACCAAACGTCCAATGAGGTCAGAACGGTTAAATATATTATGTCTTCACAGAATACTGTGCAGAAAGAAAAACCAACTACTGTTACAAACTACCGTGTGGATGAATCTCACAAACATAATGTTAAGTGAAAGAAACTAGACTCAAAAGTGTTTTTACTGTGTGATTCTATTTACCTTAAGTCCAAACTAGAGAGTATTGGAAGTAAGGACAGTGGTTATCTCTGATGGATCAAAAGAAAGATTGACTGAAGCCAGGCCCAATGGCACACGCCTGTAGTCCCAGTGTCTTGGCAGGCTGAGGCAGGAGGATCGTGAGTTCAAAGCCAGCCTCAGCAAAAGTGAGGTGCTAAGCAACTCAGTGAGACCCTGTCGCTAAATAAAATACAAAATAGGGCTGGGGATGTGGCTCAGTGGTCGAGTGCTCCTGAGTCCAATCCTCAATTACCTGCCCCTTAAAAAAAATGAGTGAAAGCCATCATGAGAGGGACCTGCCTGTGGGAAGAGGTGGTGTTCCGTTTCTTGACCTAGGGAATGGATACACAGGTGTGTTCATGAAACTATATACTCATGTTTTTAAGCTTTTCTATGTATATGTTAGACCACAATTTAAAGTTTTACACTATTTTAGTCAATTCCTATGACGGCTTAATTATTGAGTATATTCAGTATTAGTTTTCCAAAGTTTAAAAAAGAAAAAAAAAAGCTTTCGAAGTTTAAAATTGTGTGGAAAAGTGGAGGGGGTGTGGCTCAGTGGTGGAGTGCCTGTTTAGTATACATGAAGCTATGTTTTTCATCCTCAGCACTACAAAAAAAATAATTTACAGAAAATACTTCAATTAATGATAAATTAGCCTCAAATAGAGGTTTTTTTAATATTTATTTTTTAGTTGGACACCATATCTTCATTTATTTTTATGTGGTGCTGAGGATCGAACCCAGGGCCTCCCATGTGCTTGGCGAGCGCTCTGCCGCTGAGCCACAACTCYAGCCCCAGAGGTTTTGATATCATAAAAAAGTTCACAGATATTTGGAAGCAGAGTACCTGTGAATAGACCTAGGCTTTGACACATGACATGACATGACCAAATGTATCATTTATTTTGTTCTCCAAGTAGCTCTTCACACCTTCCCCAGACAACGTAGGGCTGAGGGTCCTGGCCCACTGATACCGCTGGTTATGGATGCCGAGCCCTGCTTCCCCACATGTTGAAGTTTGAGCATTAGAGAAGCAGGCCGAGGCCAGCACACAAAGCAGGGTTTATTTAAAAAGGGGTCACATAGACTTCTGTGAGGGAGAAAGGGACCATAGCTGGCATCATGGTAACCCCAGAAGTGAGGTGTTCTGCCCTCTTTATATTCCTAGGCTTCCTGTGTTCTCCTGCCTTCCCCCCTTATCTTTCTCCTTCCTGCCTATGTGACTAGGCCCAGGAATGCTCGGTGGGGGGCCCAAAGGTGGGAAACAGGTGGGCTGGAGGGGAAGGACAGGATGGAGCARCCCAGGATACACTAACTACCTTATAGCTCCCTGTAGGGAAGGGCTACTCCTGGGACAGGTTATCTTGGCAACAGGTAGGAGCAGGGGCAGGTTCTTGATAAGGGTGGAGGAAGGGCTCTGAAGGAATTAACATCTCAATCCCTCAGGGGACAGTCTCCAACTTCCCAGACTCACTCAAAATTGGCCTCCTTGATCCGACCTGACTGGATTTACCTATCTCTACTGACTGCCCGTCTAATTCTGGCTTCACCACCTGAGGTTATTTGGAGCCGTATGCCTACTTGGGAGCCAATAAGTCGTAAATGGAATTCAGAATAACAAATACATATGTTAAAGAGAACAGATAAGTAAAGGTATGAAAGGATAATTTAGTACCTAATTGGCTCTACAAAAGATCATATTGGTATTCTAGTACTGCACAGTACAGCATCTGAGGGTGGGAATTACTTAAAGGAGTTAAAAAGATCGACTGCACACGTCAGAAGTTGGCATAAGAAAACTCAGAAACAAGTCAATAGAAAATTCTAAACTGAATCATAACAGAAAAATAATAAAATAGAGCAGGAATATAATGGGACAAAGACAAAAGTTTTAAAACCATGAAACTGGAACCCCAGAAGAGGGTGGGGGGAGAGAGAGAGAGAGAGAGCAAGCGAGCGCACATGCGAGCCCAATAGAAATACTTGAAGGAAAAAATGGCTGGGAATTTTCCAATACTGATGAAAAACTTTATGTCAGTGAGTCAAGAAGCTCAGTCAGTCCAGCAGGACAAACACAAGTATGCACTTTGTATACACGCGCGCGCACACACACACACACACACACACACACCCCAAAACAAAAACCAAATACATCTATTACAGCCAAGTTACTGAAAATCAAAGAGAAACTTAAAAGCTGTTAGAAAAGACAGCACTTTTCCTTCAAGCCATTGTAAGATTTATAGCTGACTTTCCTCCAAGATTATTGAAACCAGAAGATAATGGAATAGTGTTTTTTAAATAGTGAAAGAAAAAAAAGTCGGTCTGAATGTTTTGATCCAGCTGGACATATTTTTCCAGGAAAAATCAGTATGCCTTCATCTGAAGAAATTAAGTTGAAGGGTTTTATTTCCACCAGCGCTGCACTACATGAAATGCTAAGGGAAAGGCTAGGGCTTGTCTTAGCAAGCCCCGTATCAGCTTGAGTCAGTAGCTTCTGAGGAGTGTTGCCATCCATTCTTTCTGTTCCCGGGGAGCTCTACCCATCTTTATTGCTTTAGGAGTCATTTCATCAAACTCTTCTTAAATGACATCCTACTGTTCATTCCTCACCACTTGCACACACATTTGACGGTTTGTAGCAGGGACCCCAGCTCCGGGTACCACAGTGGCACTGGTTGCAGCTGGAGGAGGACAGCTTTGGGTCAACTCTGAACTCCAGATCAGACTCTTCTCACAGAGCGTCTCGGGAGGGGTTAATGGGTGAGCCTTCTGAAATTCTGCCTCAATTCTTTGGCAAGTGCAGATGTCCATTTTTTTCTGCTGTGTACTTTCTCCACATGAAGAATTTTAAATTGCTTTCCCTCTTCTATTTATTTTTGAGTGGCTCCTGAATAAAATTCCTCAGTTTGAAGCTTAAGGCTTAGAAAACATGTAGCTCGTCTACAGCTCTACCACCCGAATGTGCCTGATCTCATCGGGTCTTGGAAGCTAAGCAGAGTCAGGCCTTGTTCTGACTTGGATGGGAGAAAGTGTAGATGCACTTATTTTACATGTTCTAAGAGACTAAATTATGCAGTGCCGGCTTCATGAACGAGTCACCAAAGTCGACAAAGAAGATAGCTGGATTTGTTCGGTGACTCTGTGGGAAGGGYGCACGATGAACGTTGGACTTCAGGAAAACGAGCCTTTGAATGTGAGGATAGAAGACTTAACTGCATTCCTTAAAAAAGAATGATGAAAATAAAAGAATGTAAATTGTCATGAGAGCTAGAATGTCCTCCAAAGGCTCATGTGTTGAAGACATGGTCCCCAGGGCCACAGTATTCAGAGGTGGAGCTTACCGTGATTGGATCCTGAGAGTTCCAGCCTCATCAGTGGATTGATCCATTGATAGATCCATAATTTGATGGCTTTATTGGAAGATGTTGGAAACTATAGGAGATGAGGCCCAGTTGGGGGAAGTAGGAAGTAGGTTGTAGGTGGATACGCCCCAGAGAGATGTCTCTTGTCCCCAGCCCCTTCTCTCTGTCTGTGCCTCCTGGCTGCCATGAGGTAAGCAGTTTTACTCTACCCCCCACCTTCCRCCATGATGTTTGGCCTTGCCTGAGGCCCAAAGCTATGGAGCTGGCCGACCATGACCAAAACCCTTTCAAGCTGTGAGCAAAATAAATCTTTCCACTTACCCTGGTTTTCTCAGATGTTTTGTCACAGTGACAGAAAGTTAACCTACCTAATTAACTCAGGGTGTTTCATTAAGACTAAGCAAACACAAAGCTCAAACAAACAGAGGAATGATTAAGAAAATCATGAGACAAAAAAAATGGAATCTGTTAACCAGTCAGAAACTGGCTCACGCCAAAGACGGGTAAGAGACCAATGTGTGGCACATGTGGTGACAAAGGAAGCGGAACACAGATAGCATCAGGAAGGGAAGGCAGAGTAATTGCAGGTACAAAAGTTTATAACAGATCTTAAAATGATAGAAGGACATAAATGTAAACGGTCAAAATTGATTCAGGAAGAAGTAAAAAGCTGACATGGACCAATAACCTAAAACACACTGAAATGTTACCCAGGGATTTTTCTCCTGCTAAAAGGGCACAGAGGCCCAGCAAGCTCTCACAGTCTTTCAGAGGTTGATTGGCAACTTTATTTAAGATCCTAGAAATATATAGGAAGAGTTCCATCTCATTTGGGGAGGTTGGTATAATCTTGATATTAGACAGGAAAAATTTATAGCATAGCAGTACATATGTGCATAGATGCTGAAATCCTAAACCAAATTTCTTAGTATTCAAGTCTGGCAGTGTATTTTAGAAATATAAGGATAATTGAATGTTAGACACACCTTTCATTGTAATTCACTACAACAGATCAAAGGAAATAATGCTCTATACATGTATCAGATGCTGAAAGAGCATCTTAGCTGTAGAATTCAATACCCTCTTGTTAGAAAACCCTTCTAGAAAACTAGGAATAGCTCAGGCTAAAAGCTGTGGGCTTAGCTACTTACCTAGCTTGACTAGTATTCTCTCTCAGAAGCTTATGGTAAACATCAAAAAAGAAGAGCACGGTGGTACATGCCTGTAATCCCAGCTAMTAGGGAGTCTGAGGCATGAGGATTGCAAGTTTGAGGCCAGCCTCAGCAAATTAGCAAGACCCTGTCTCAACATAAAAAATAAAAAGGTCTGGGGGTGCAGCTTAGTAGTAAAACATTTCTGAGTTCAATCCTTAGTACCTCCGCTGCACACACACATACATACACACACACACACACACACACACACACACACACACACAAATTAGACATGTTATTTTTAAATCAGTGAGAAAAATGCACAGGCCCTGGGTTTGATCCCCAGCATTGCAGAGAGAGACAGAGAAAGAAGGGGGGGTGGGGTGGGGTTCATTATCACTATTATTGCAACATGAGAGTAAAATAAAATAAGGATTGTACATATTAAAATAGAATAATCAAAGTTTATCATTTGCATATGACCCACCTAGTTAGAATTCAGGAGAATCCGTTGGCAGATGTTAGAGCTGGTAAGAGACTTTAGCTGTCTGCACAGATCCCCAGCACGTTTCCCAAGATCAAACTACAGTTACAGTAGCATTTTTTTTTTTAAGATTTCCAAAAATCTCCAAAGAAGAATTATATATCAAATTCCTTTAACTACAGTTGGGGAACTTTTACCTAATCTTTTGGTTGGCAATGATGTTATTATCTTTAGTGACTGTGACAAAAATCCTGAGAAGAATCTTAACAGAATTTTATAATGCCTTCCAGACAACAGAAATGTTCAATTTAAAATCATATGTTTGTGTATTTCATGGTTTCTTTGTGCATTTTCAAAGTCGAAACACATAAAATCTCATCATGAATTATAATTAGCAGGTGAACATTCTCACTTGCTTTTGATGATGGGGAATACCAACTCTGAACCTTAATTGAGTAATATGTTATTCCTCCACAAGGGATACTRCTCTTCTCATTAGGAGACCTACGTTACCCAAAAATATTGTTAGATTCTGAATTTCATCAATTAACTSTGAAAAATTTGTTTTCTCTTTTGTTAAACAAGTACCTGCATAATATCCTCCAGTTTTCTCTTGACCTACAGCCTCAAATGTTTATCATCTGGCCTTTTACAGAAAAAAAAAAAAGTTGCTGACTCCTGCTCCAGCCAGTTAGCTATACCAAGAAATGTGTTTTTTAAAAAAATAATTTACATTTTATTATCTGACTCTTGCYGGTCCCTTCCCCATCTCCCCCTTTTTTTCTTGCCGCACCTTCTCTGTCTTGACACATGTGGCGATAACACATTTATTAATATTTGTTGCTCACTGTGTCTTGGTGGGCCATCTTCTTGCACAAGAATTTTTACACACATGTGCTCACTTACCTACATGAGCTGAAAGAAGGCATACTAGCAGTTGGGGAGATCCAAGTGGGAAGTGTGATAAAAGGTCAAGGTCAAGGATTTGGAGCACACGGAGGATGTGTGTTAGGTAGAGAGATGAGAACACATTTTATTTTATTTTATTTTATGTTTTTTAAAGAGATAGAGAATTTTTAATATTTATTTTTTTTAGTTTTTGGCGGATACAACATCTTTGTTGGTATGTGGTGCTGAGGATCGAACCCGGGCCGCACGCATGCCAGGCGAGCGCACTACCGCTTGAGCCACACCCCCAGCCCTGAGAACACATTTTAGGTGACTAGAATATCCATTGATCAACTGACAGGCACAGGTGTGGCCTTGTCACAGTGATCCTGAGTGGACTCGTGGAGTGAGTCAAGGCCAGCGGCATGGAAGGCGGCTGTGACCATTCTGCTTTCAGGCTTGGGCTGTCAGTACGGGCTCTCACTCCAGGTCACTTCAGGGAGTCACTCTTGCTTCCTGTGTCGCCGGTTACTCTGGGCTTCTGTACAGCTGGGCATGTGTCTGGGGTAGCATGTGAGTGATTACCCAGGTATCTTCTATATGCAGAATCCAGAGAAGGAAAGCTTTTGTTCTCCTTTCTCCTTTCTTTGTAGTGCTGGGATTCGAACCCAGGGCCTTGTGCACGCAAGACAAGCACTCTACCAACTGAGCTATATCCCCAGCCCCTCCTTTCTCCTCTTAAGAGAACAAATTTAGGAGGGCTGGACGCAGGCACAGTTATATGGGTAAATTTGTGTCCATACAGATTTCGTAAGAAAACAAATTAGGTCTTACCTTTCTGTTCCGTAAGCAGGAATTTTCTTGTCTACTTAACTTCTAAGGAAAGTTATCTTAAATCTCCACCTAAAATACTTAATTACGGGCTGGGATTGTGGCTCAGYGGTAGAGTGCTCACCTAGCATGTGCAGGGAGGGCCCTGGGTTCGATCCTCAGGATCACATATAAATAAAAAAATAAAGTAAAGGTATTGTGTCTACAACTAAAAAAAAAAAAAAAAAAAAAAAAAAATATATATATATATATATATATATATATATATATATATATATGATTCACTGGACTTTGGGTCTTTTACTGGAGATGATGTAGTGTGTGTGCAGGAATACTCACCATTAGTCTGGGTTGGTTTTTTTTTGGGGGGGGGTGTTTTGAGGTCTTGTTACTGTTTTTCTGAGAGAAGTTCTGTAAATTAATACTCATCAAACCATTAAATTCTAAWTAGGACCGAGAGAGGAATTATTCTTATTTTGTCTTTATGCTGCTTTTGTAATTTAACATTTTTGATTATTTGTTTTCAGTCTTTTTCACTCATTTGTATTCCTCCTGTCTTCCAGCTCCTGATGATACCTCATTATTGCTGCTGCGAGCGGATTTGCATTTAACCATGAGGAACTATGAGCAGGCCCTGCAGGATTCTGGTATAGTTTGTCAGAAGGAACCTCTCTTGACTAAGGTGATTTATCTTGGTTGGCTTTGGAGATGATGAATCGTGAATGAAGAAGAACTATTTAAAATTGCAGTCCCTCATATATGTATGAGCATGTCAGTAGTGTTAGTGAAAGAACTAACGTTTTGTGTGCTTTTTGGACTAATTTTAGTCTTTGTGTTTTTTGATGGAAAGGCATGAGATTTCTTTGATGACACAAAATGAACTTTGCTAATCGAATAGTGATAGCTTAAATTGTACTTAAATTTAAGAAGTCAAATAATAAAAATATTTAAAATTACAGTCCCTAATATACRTATGAGCGTATCAGTGGTGTTAGTGAAAGACATAACATTTTGTGTGCTTTCTGGACTAATTTTAGTCTTTTGTCTTTTTTTCGTGGATCTTTGAAATTTGAACCCCTATGAGAAAATTTAAAGTTTAAAAGAACTTGTGATGAAATTAACACCTATAACATACTCTATTTGTGAACTGATAATTAAAACTATTGATTCTTCTGATYTATTACTTTTTAAATCATCTTTGCTTTAGAAACATGGAAGAGATATTAGCCCCAGTTAGGAGACAAATTGTGTCTATCCATCCATCCATCTTACCTACCTCTCCTCTCCTCTTTCTTTCCTGTTTGCCAAAATCCTTTAAAAAAAACGTTTTAGATTAAATTGAGAGTAAAGTTGGGCTTTGGGATGAGCCCAAGGATGAGAGCAAATGTTCATTGGATTAAGCCYAGAAACCTATTTTGTTGCTTGCTTGCTTTCCTAAGAACATTTTCTACTCTTATTTCTGATGCCTTTTCTCTTATTCCTTCACTTGACCTACTATTTTAAAATTTATTTTAACAGATGAAAATTGTATATACTCAGGGCATAACATGTTCTTCTGAAAAATACATTGTAAAATGGCTAGCTCAGGCAAAATTAATGCATGCATTACCTGACATTATTTTTTGTAGTGAGAATACCTAAAACCTGTTTTCTCAGGAATTTTCAAGGGTGAAACATGTTAATAATTATAGTCACTGTGTTATACTAAATCTCTTTTGAACAATCTTCTAGCTTAAATCTTGTATTCTTTGACTAACATCTCCCTAGTCTRTCTCGTTCCACTACTATTCTTCTGAGGCAATTTCTGTAAGTAATGACCGAATCTTAATTATGAATTCTGAGTATTCCTGACAATAGACCTGCATTGACCTCTGAAGGTAGTTTTCCCCCACAGTATTGTTCTTTGAGCTAAAAACTTGGCAGAGTGTCTCCTGCAAGAGAGTTAGTTAGTTACTGCAAAGTTTCATGGCTAAGTGAAACTTTGAGGCAGCCGATGAATATTTAATGTTTGAGACTGTGGCCAGATTTTCAGGATTTATTGCAAATCTCTAGACCTCAGTTCTTCATCAATGCATGGTGGATAACAGCTTCAGCAAAAATGTATCCTAAYAAATCATTTTAAAACAACAAATGATAGAATTTTGTTCCAAAGTATGTTGTTACAACTAAGGATTACAGGAGTGATATGGAAGGTTAGTTGAAGTGGTGGTAATCGAGAAGCCACTAGGAAGGAAGTGGATTGAGGGGAAGAATAAGTTGACCAAGCATGATTAAGATGAGATGGAAAACTTTTAGAACCACCTTCCCGCTGGGGGAAATGTTACAGGAGGATGTTCATTCAAGTAAAACCCTTCCACACAGCCAATCATGGCTAATATTCATGGGTAACGATTCAAGGCTTTTTGGAGCAATTGGATAAGCCTGAGCCAGAAAACATTTGCCYACTTGCAGAAATAGATAATAGGCACATGATCGGTTTGATTTTACCAGGCAAAAAGGCCTTAAATTAAACCTTACCTAAAATTATTGAAAAACTCATTCATTCACTTTATAAGCATTTATTGATACATGGTATCAAGAATGTGCATGTTGATTGAGGTGATGTGTGTGTGTGTGTGTGTGTGTGTATGAACATTTCCCTGTGAAGTTCCTTGTGTATGTAAGAGGATTATTCTCAAAGAACCTTAGATAAGTAGAATGAACAGATTTAGAAACTTCTGATACTTGATTCAGGCCATTTACTTGTATATGGTCTCAGAGGGGCTTCAGCCACATCGGATTCATAATTTTATACCCTTCCTTAAAAAAACCTTAAAGGGGCTGGGGTTGTGGCTCAGTGGCAGAGCACTTGCCTCGCAAATGTGAGGCACCGGCTTTGATCCTCAGCACCACATAAAAATAAATAAAGATATTGTGTCCATATATAACTAAAAAAACCTTACAAATTATGTAAGATTCAGACTCTACAAAAGCGGAATCCATTCTTATGAAAGGAAAAATATAATAATCGGTAAACTTTCAAGGGCTAAAGAGTTCCATAAATGAATTGTAACTGGCCTCAGGGGCATCTGTGAGATCCCAGAGAACCCAGGATGAAGCCCATGACCTGTTGTCCAAAATATTCATCATAGCTTCTTTTTTTTTCAATATCTTTATTTTATTTTTATGTAGTGCTGAGGATCGAACCCAGTGCCTCATGCATGCTAGGCGAGCGCGCTACTACTTGAGCCACAACCCTGGCCCCTTGTCGTGACTTTTGAAATGGCTGTTCTCCCAGAGAACTCAGACTTGGGATGTAATGAGTGGTCAGTTACGGGGTGTTAGGCACGGTTGATGCTGGAGGTAGGATGGGTCACCGTCAGCACAGTCATGGTATTCAGACAGTGGAGAAAGAAGCCAGGTGGATAGGAACCTGAAAACAGACTCTTGCTGGCCGATATTGCCACTAGTGTCTTAGACATTTTGGTGCAGGGATAAGGATGAAGAGGYGGCCATGGATGTGCATCCCTTATGGTTTTCCCTCCCAACGGACCCACGTAAAATGACAGTAGAGGGAAAGGATGATTTACCTACTTCTAGGAACCACAAAAAAAATGAAGAGGTCATGTGAGCACAGAAGAGAGAAAATATATAAAAACTGGACTGGAAAAAAAAAAAGAATATTGTAAAGTATCCAAACAGCAGGAGAATTGAGTCTCAAAGACTTTTGAGTATGGAAGGGATGAGAATTGTGATTTCATGGCTTTTTGCCGGTAGCTGCAGCTAGAAGACAATAGTGGTCAAGCTCTGAACATTACCACCTGAAACTATCAGAGTTCTGGGGACTTCAAGGTCAGTACTTCATCTGGAAGTGCCTGGTGGAACCGGGAGAAAGGAAGTGGAAAGGGAGAAATTTTCTTAGCAAAACAACTGTGCAAGTGAGATAGATGCAAAATATAAATCTGACTCACAGTTAAATTGCGCACGCATGTGAGAGGTGCAGAGGGCACAGCAAAAAAGCCAGAGTGACAGGGTCCCCCTTCCCGTGTTCAGTGAGTACCTGAAATGAGGAGTAGCACACAGCTCAGGCAAGACCAAGACTGAAATGTCAGTAAAGAACTCTAATCTGCCAGAATAGCTAGAAATGAGGGAAACTCCTACAAGAAGGGGGAAAAATATCTCAGAATGGCTAAGTTCCAACTCTGGCCAAATCCTGGTTGATTGCCAAATTTCTTAGATATCGGGGAGGAACTGCAAGGCTTAAAAAGGAGCAGGGGAAAGTCAGAACAGAGCAGAGAGAGAAGCCACACCATGGGAACATAGAGTTTGTGGGGGAATCCAGAAAAGTTAATCACCCTTTGTGACGACCCGGTAACACTCAGAAGAACGTGACAAAGTGCAGAAGTTGTTAATACAACATAGGTACCATGTCCAGTTTCAACTAAAAAATGTTTGACACAAAAAGAAACAGGAAAGTGTTGACTTAAGATAAAAGCCAATAAAAATTAAGTGGGCCCAGATATTGTATTTACCTAGAAACAGCTTTTACAGAATGAGTATCCCTTATCCAAAATGCATGGGACCAGAATCGTTTCACATTTTGGATATCTTCCAATTTTAGAATATTATCATATACATAACGAGGTGTCTTGAGGATGGGACCCAAGTGTAAACTCAAAATTGGTTTTATATATTCCTTATGGATACAACATGAGGGTAATTTTATATAAGATTTTAAATGACTCTATACACAAAGCAAAGTTGCATGGTGTGGAATTTTCTACCTGTGGCATCATATCAGTGCTGAAAAACTTTGTCAGCATTTTATTGGAGCATTTTCAATTTAAAATTTTTTTGTTAGGGATGTTTATTGAGTATAAATGAGATCAAAGAGTCAAATGAAATTATATCGAAAGAGTAAAAGGAAAATATGTTTTTATAAAAAACAGCAATTTCAGTGGGGAAATTGAACCATTTTTTTTAAAAAAAGGAAATTCTAAAGATGAAAATTATGGATTCTGAAATTCAAAATTGCTGGACAGGCTCCAAAGCACATCATACATGGCAACAGTATCAATGAAAATGAGGGTAAATACATGGAAATTTCCCAGTCCAAAGAACCAAAAAGGGGAGGAAAAGAGTAAAGAAGAATGGAAAGAATCTCAGAAGCCTGTGTGGGTCAATGTCAAGTGTGTAGTTCATGTGCACCTAGAACCCGCAGGGGAAAAGAGAGGCAATGGCAGGGGAAAAGTTCAAAGAAATAATGGCTGAAAACTTTCCAGATTTAGTGAGAATTGTTAATTTCCGACCCAGCAAGATAAGCATGAACTCCAAGCAAGATAAACTCAAGTGATCATCAAGCTGCTGTGCTGTAAGGCAAATATTAAAAGAAAGTCTTGGAAGCATCAAGAGAAAACTGACATGAGATGAGAATAATGGCATAAGAGAARTAACCAGACTGATGGTTGACATCTCATTGGAAACCATGGAAACCATTTGACACTGGAAAAGCAAATTCAAAGTAGAAAGAAAAAAAAAAAAAGTCAGACTGCCTTCTACCAGAAATTCATCTTAAATGCAAAGACACAAATAGACTTAAAAGGCTCCAAAAATATATCATGCAAACACAAAAAGTACAAAGATGAGATAACTGTATTAGTATCAAAGGGTATTACTAGAGATGTAAAGAAAAACTTTAAGAGGATCAATACAACAATTTTATATACACACACACACACACACATACACACACACACACACACACACACACACACACACACACATGAAATGTCAGGGCATCAGAAAATTTTAAATTTTAGATAAGTACACAATCAGAGTTAAGTGAATTTAATATACTTTGGCCAGTATTGATATCCTCACTAAATCAAAATTTTAGTTAATGTAGATAAAATCTGAATGGCGTTATCTACCCTCTTAACCTAATTGACGTTTGTAGAACATTACACTCAGTTGCAGTCTGCATGTGCCTCTTAATGCTTATGGAATCCCAGTGCTAGTAAAAAAAAAAAAGTATTAATAAATTTCAAAGCATTGAAATCTTAAAGAGAATGCTCTCTGAAAACAGAATTAAAGAGCAATTTTATTGTTTTATTTTATTTCAAAAATAAAAACATCTAGGAGATCCTTAAACATCTTCAACTTACTTCTGAATCTGTGGAACCAAACAGAAATAAAAGGGAAAGGAGTAAACAATTAAACACAAATGATGATAACTTTGAATTTCTGAAATGCAGCTAAAGCCATTYTTAGGGGGAAGTTTATAATATTAGTGCTTCTTAAAGAAGAAAGTTCTCAAAGCAGTGATCTAAGCTTTCACGTTAAGAAAGTAGGAGAAGAGGAAGGAAATAAATGTAAGGACAGAAATCAATAAAAAGGACTCAGAAAACACACATCATTAAAAAAAGAAAAAAAAAGAAAAAAGCCCCAATGGTAAATTGATAATCAAATTTTAAAACTCGTGGCCTTTCAAAAGATACTATTGGAAAAGTGAAAAGGCAAACAAAGAATAGACAGAAATATATGCGAGGCATTTATTTGATAAAGGAGTTGGTCTTAGTAAATACAAAAAAAAATTTTACCAATTTAGTAATAATTCAGACAACCCAATTTTAAATAATGGGCAAGGTATTTAAGCAGATACTTTACCAAAAAAGACATATGAATATGAAATAAATACATGAAAAAATGCCCTGCGTTATTAGTCATCAGAGAAATGTAAATTAGAACCTCAGTGACATATTATTGTAGACCCACTAGACAGGCTTAAGTTAACAAGGCTGACCACACTAAACGTGGCCAAGGAAGTCCACCARCCAGAATTCTTACACATCACTAGTGGGAATACAAAATTATCCAGTTGGTTTCGAAAGGTTTAGTAGATATTTTTTTTTAACATTTATTTTTTAGGTGTAGATGGACACAACACAATGCCTTTATTTTTATGTGGTGCTGGGGATCGAACCCGGGTCCTGACCATGCGAGGTGAGCGCTCTACGGCTGAGCCACATTCCCAGCCCCGGATTTGTTTGTTTTTGATACCAAGAATTTAACCCAGGGTTGCTTCACAACTGAGCCACATCCCCAGCCCTTTTTTATATTTTTGATTTTGAGACAAGGTCTTGCTCAGTTGCTTAGGGTCTCACTAAGTTACTGAGACTGGCTTTGAACTTGCAATCCTTTCGCCTCAGCCTCCTGAGCCATTGGGCAGATTTTTTTTTTTTTAAGTTAAGCATACTCTTCCTGTGAGACCTATCAATCTTACAAATATTTTCCCAAGAGAGTAAAAAAAAAAAAAAAAAACGAACACAAAGACGTGCAAATGTTCATAGCAGCTTAATTCATATTAGCCAAAGACTACAAAAATAAATATCTATCAACATGCAAATAAGTAATTCATGGTACAACCATACAGTGGAATACTGCTTAGCTGGACAGAAAAAATGATAGGTGGATCTACATAGCAACACAGTTGGTCTTAGAAGGGCCACAGCAAGTCACGAAAGGCACACAAAAGACAGCATGGTGGTTCCATTCATGTGAAATACTCAAAAACTCAAAACTAGAGTGACAGGTCAGTGGGGAGCAGGTCTGCTCAGGGGAAGGGACTGACTGCAGATGGCAGGAGAGAATGCTGGGGGTGGTGGAAATGTGAGTGCTAATGGTTAGACAACCACACACACTTATCCAAACGCGTCACATTGAGCATTTAAGATTGGTGGGGTTTACTGTCTATACATCGTCCCTCAGTGAAAGTGTGACAGGAAGTGTAAACAAGAGTAAGCTCATAAACAGAGAATGGGGAATATTTATGGAAGAAGGGAATTCGACAGATTTCTTTTTCAAACATGGATGAATGTCCGAAAGAGCCGAGGACATCCCAGTTCCCACGGAAGCTAAGCTCACGGCATGGGAGGAGCTCTGGAGAGGAGCTGGGGTTGGGGATGGGAGTGAGCATGGAGGTCCGCCTCCGTGTCTGATCACCCTGTCCTGCAGGGCAGTAGCGGCACACACATCACAGGGCCTTCTCACCCAGAGACTCTAGAGGGACCACGGGGGGGGGAGAAAGCCTGGCTGCCTGAAGTCCCTGAATAAGGGCCCTGACATCCTGCTCTTGGGACTTCTAGCCCCAGAATCCTCYTCAGTAGATGTCAGCCGTGTAGACCAGGTATCTTCCAGCAACGAAGTTGAGGAGGAAGAAGCTCTCACCAGCGCAGTAGCAGTATTACATTAATGAAAAATAAAATTAATAAAAAACCTAACAGAGACCAGTTCTCTCGTAGCATGTCCATTAGAACTGCTGTAAGCAGCAAATTCCAAATATGGTGATTCTTGTGTTCTGATTGTAAATTGTKATTTATGAGACATYGCAGTTTGCCAGATTTCCGAGGTGGGTTTATGAAATCGAAACAAATCATTCTAACAATTTTTTGCAGAGCTGTCTGCATTCAAATGTGTATACTCATGCTGGTTGTGTTGTCTATGTCTGCTCTGTCTCTTGGTCCATGCAGGGGCACCACATAAAAGCTCAGGCTCTTTGTGCACTGGGAAGAAGTGAGGAAGTGTTGAAGGAATATCTCTACTGCCTTGCTTTRAATCCTGATTGTAGCACCATGAAGAAAGAAGCACAGAAGGTATGAGTTCTRATAAGTGAGTTTCTCTGGGAAGTCCTGTCTATAGCCTTGGGTCCATGCTGGGTAACCCTGGCATTTGAAATAAACCGGAAGTGTAATTCCAAATGTTCTGGACAATGTGATTAGAAACATAGGAATAATGATGAGGCTCGTGCATCTGGCAGCTTCTAATTAGATGTTCCATTTATTGAGACGGTGTACAGTGTGCTTGGGTAGTGTTGAAACGATGGCCCACGGGAGTCGAGGCTAGGTGACCGTTTGGAGCGGGGGAGGCAAAGTGCTGTTTCCTAGAATTTCCCATTTCAAGTACCACAACTTGCGCAGAAGTCCTATCAAGACATCCTGAGATACGTAAAATATACCAGTTCAGCCCAGAGGTTGGCCTGTAATCTCTAGCTCTGCCTCACCAGCATAATGCAGGAGGACGTGCTCTTCTGCTCGTCTCCGAGAACACTTCAGGTAGGAATCCACGCTCCTAACAGCCTGCACACTGGTGCCCTGGCCTTTACTTAGCACCTCCAGGGCCTGAGAGTTTTTGTTCCATGTCAGCCTGTCTCTATTTTCACACTCCTGGGAACATCGACCGTGTATTTACCCTGTAGTTTCTACCCAGCAGTTCTGGTTTTGTTTTCTGGAGCAACATAAAAATAAATCAGTTCTTCCTTCAACAGCTCAGACCACTTGAGATATTTGAGAATAGCTGTTCTCCTTGCCCTCAATCATTCTTTGTACCAGGCCTCCTTGACTCTGAGAACAAGGTCACGAGGGTTTCTTCCTGGATGTGTTCTGACCTTCTCCAGAGTTGAGCATGCACACAGGACAGGGACAGGGGGTGAGGCGCATTTGTTTTTAGCCTGGCAGCATCCCCATTGGCTCCTATTAGAAGTGTAGGTAGCCACAAGGACCTAGGTCTGTGGTTTTCTTTTGATGAGAACTTTCTAGTAACTTTTTATCCGTTTTTCCAAGTGCCGTCGCGTGGTGTTTGTTCATCCTGTTCAGTTTTCACTCGCTGGGTTCTGACCGTCGTTTCTCACTTGTCAGAACGATGTTGAGTCTTGAGTTGGCTATTTCAGCTACCCCYGCCAGCTGTCTCCCACCTACAGATGTCATCAGAAGCTTGAAGCTTGTCTTCTCCCTGCTGATCCTCACACAAGCCTGGCAGAGATGGCAGCCTGAGCGCAGTGAGATGAAGCACGTTCACAGAGCTCTCAGAGCCAGAACTCGGTCTTTGGACCCTGGTCTGCCCGTTGCTTTTTCAGACATGGTCCTCCTGGGCACACCATGGTGGGGGATGGCAAAAGAGCATTAACCCATCGATGCCCATGAAATATACTCACACCCCTGGCAGGTCTGCTGAAGCCACTCAGGGCCAGGTAGGACCCGACGGCCTGGCTGAGGATGCAGCTGCTCTCTGCTAAGAGATTATGTTAGCTTTTTGTCACTGGGACCTGAATATCTGACAATAACAACTTARAGGAGCAGAAGCCTATTTTGGTTTATGGTTTCAGAGGTCTCAGTCCATGTTCCACGGACTCCATTGCTCTGGGCCGAGGTATGGGCAGCACATCATGGAAGAAAGTTGCTCAGCTCTGGCATCCAGGAAACAGAGAGAGAGAGAGAGACAGAAAAGCGCCAGGGTCAGCTATAATCCCCAAGGCCATGCCCCCAGTGACCTATTTCCTGTAGCCACACCTCATCTGCCTACAGTTAACACCCAGGAGTCCATTCAGCTACCAGTGGGTTAATCCTTTGGCAATTACTCTGCTCATTATTGGCCTAAAAGCCCCACCTGCACCCTGCTGCACTGGGGACTGTGCTTTCAACCCAGGAGTGTTTGTGCTTTCAACCCAGGAGTGTTTGAGGGACATTTCAGATCTGGACCATAACAGAGGTCCTGGGTTCTGGTGCACTCGCCTTATAACATGAAGAGCTTTGGGAGGGGCTTTGTTTAGGTTGCATCCGCTTGTCTTTCTTCCCTGAAGCCATTGGATTCAGCTGAGATCACAGGGTTTGGCAGGACCACCAGGTGTCATTCAGAACGCCTAACMGGCAGCCCCTGCCCTCCCCTTCCCCAGTGATAGGCCCTGGGCTCAGGAGCCGCAGTGATGGCCCTTTACCTCCTCTGCTTTCCCGGCTGGCTCTAGTGGTTCTGTCATAAATAGAGCTGTCTTCTGTTTATGTCTCAGTCCCATAGCTGGTCACCGCTTAGATTAACGTGGGACCCCCCTCGGAAGCCTCTCTACTGCATTTTTCTCTTATCTGTGAGAGTTTTAGGGGAGTTTTAATGTAGGAGGTATGTAAGGACCAGACAAAAGGAAGTTATGATCTCATAGTTTATCATTTGTAAGGCTAGAATGGAAAGGGATTAGAAGCTGAAATGCTCAAAACATGGTGATTTGGGAAAATGTTTGCATTTTAAAAGGTTGACAAGGAATAAGGTAATGACTTCTTTTCAACCTTCTAGGCCTGTTTGGCTGCCCTGTTCCTTTGCGTCTTTAAAACGTGTYACATATGTTTCTAGAAGCATTTTACAGTACTTCTCTCTCTCCTTGGCCATTTTAYAGGCAGTGTGTGAGGTGTTTTTTCCACCTTCAGAAAACGTACGTCAGCACACCAAGGCTTGCATCCAAAGCAGAGCAAAGGCTCCATGTCGTGGCCGGAAAAACAAGGCGCTGCCACCMCAGTCCGCAGAAGGTGGTAACTCAGGGAGTCCTGAGGTAGGAAGCCCATGTCCATCAGATTCCCCCGATGAGACACTGCACAGGGTGTTTGGAGGTCGCGGCGTCACACTGGTTAGAAGTGTTTCATGGGAGGCTGAGGCAGGAGGATGGCAAGTTCAAAGCCAGCCTCAGCAATTTAGTGAGGCCCTATCTCTAAATAAAATGTTAAAAGGGCTGGGGATGTGGCTGAGTGGTGAAGCACCCCTGGTATCAAAAAAAAAAAAAAAAGTTTCATGAAAGCAGCGGAGCTCTTCAACCCAAGAGTTGACACTTTTAAATGTCAACAAAAATAATGAAAGCGATTGAAGATGGAACGGAAGAAACTGCAAAAGCTTCAAACAACCAAAACACCAGGAGACCTGAGCCTGGGGTTATTTTGGCTTGGAGCAAAGAAAGCAGCGGGATGATTTGAGCATGTGATCTATGATTGATTTATCTTATGTGTATATGTTATGTACATGCATACGGAGAGTGGTGTTCATTCATTGTGCCCCAAAGAAACTATCCTGTATTTTACCATAAAAGTGCAAAGATCCTCTTATTAGTTGATAAATGAAACTGATTTTGAAGGGATAGTCTCAACCCTCGTTTTCCAAAGGGTTCTAAGGCAGATTCCTGCATGATTTATGCCTTCTATGCTGTGATATCGTGAATATTGAGGATTCTTTTTTTCCCTATTTAACCAGAATGCGTCTGAGAAAACTGACGTCTTTCGAAATGCCAATTCTTCGGTCTTGTATTTTATACTGGGTCTACACTTTGAAGAGGATAAGAAGACATTAGAAAGCTTACTTCCAGAGAAACCCAGCACCGGCTTAAAGAGACAGCATCCGGATGATACGGAGGATGCTCGTGAACTTAGTGCCCCTGGAAAGATTCCTAAGAAAGGTCGGTAGGCTGTGTTCTCATCATGTTGTATAATCCMAAACGGTAGGACATTGGTGTTTGATTAATTCTACACTGGTAACATTAACAGTGAAATGATTATCTGCTCTGAGGCGTAGTACATTTTAGAGGGCAAGGACTTTGTAGTCCAAAATAGCCAGAAAACTTAGGTATAATTTTAACATTYYTTCATGCTTACAGTGCAGATAAATGATTGCTATCTACTAACTAGACAGCAGCATTCCTGCCYGGCATGGTTGGTTACATGGATGTCATACATGGTGTCCAGAGGAGATACTCCCAGAGGATGCTCTTGTTCAGATGTTTAGGGTTTTAATGAACCCCTTTTTAAATTTTTCAGATGCAGATGYCTCACCTGAAAGGAATGTGAACTCTAAGACAGGAGAAGGTCCAGAGCTCCCGATTGACGTAACTGACTTTGAGTGTGCCCTTTGCATGAGGTAGGATGGTGTAGAATCTATGTCGTTCTCTCATCAATTCAGCCTCCCAGAGCCTGACACCAAAATGCAATAGGCTGTTTTTCTAAGGAGGAAATGATATCTACTTAACTCGCGATTGATTCGTTTTTCTAAAAACTCAGTGCAGAAGATGGAAATGGGCGTATATGACCTCCAGAACACTAAAGGAACTGCATGGGGCCCCCTTCTAAAGCAGACGGCTGGAATGTCTCTTTTGGACGGTTCTGCTGAAAACCCCCGCGTTTCCTTCCAGGTTGCTCTTTGAGCCTGTCACCACGCCCTGTGGACATACGTTCTGCCTCAAATGCCTGGAGCGCTGCCTTGACCATGCCCCACACTGTCCGCTGTGCAAGGACAAGCTCTCGGAAGTAGGTACAGTTGGTGACACGCAAGGCTGCTCCTCCTCCCGCCCTTTGGTAGATCCATTTCCCGTCCTGCTTTGCTCCTACCTAAAGAACGTCAGATTTTTCTGATCAGTGACGTGACCTTTTCCACCTCTTTGATTAATCAAAAAAAAAAAAAGGGTTTGATGTAGACACAGCTGGATTTCAAGGCGATTTTCAGGCAGAAATCACAGTGGGCAGAGACTGAACAGGATAGCTACCATCACTGAGTCCCCACGGCATGCTCACTAAACGGTCGGGATAAGATGGTGAGCCCTCGGCGCGTGCGGGCGTGCTCTGCCTGGCCTCCTCACGAGAGTTGGGCGTGGGGGGAAGAACTGATGATTTCTGACTGTTCCTCAGTCCCTTAGTGCCCTCACCATCTGTCAGTTGTCATAGTCTTTGGTTGGAAATCAAAACCAGCAACACTTAAAGAGTCTACAGGGAAGCTGTTGAATGATATTTAACCCAACGGAAGCTATTAAATCCATTTACATTAGGAATGGAAGCAAACGGAGAGTATCTCAAAGCTGACCGTCTCCTGATCGCATCCTTAAAGAGTGTGTCCTTAAATCACTGTGTCCGATGCTGGTCCTCAGGGAGCCACTGCTCTCCATGGAACACATTATTTACCCACTTGGGGTGGTAAAGGGACTAAGAATAGAATATTTGCTGTTATTGTCTCCCAGAGATTTTTTACATGCATTTTTAGGTAGGATAAAGTCTTGCTTTTGTCTTTCATAAATGTCCAGATTCTCTATTTTTTTCCTCTCTCCCTCTCTTCTTCTCCCCACCCACTCTCATTTGGGATGGAACCCAGGATCTCACACATTAGTTAAGCGTACGTTCTACAACTGAGCTCGACACCCAGCCCCCAAAATTCATTTTTTGAAACCTGACACGATAAGAGTAGATATTATACTGAAGCCAATTTTTAGATAATTGTAACCTTTTAATTTACTGCCAAAACTTGTTAAAATGTTATACTTGAAACCTTTCTAAATCATATATACATACCTTGTTAAATTGCATGCAGACTCAATCTAAATTCCTCAGGGTTCCCGTTACGAATAGCCATCATTGCACCATGCACAGTGTGTCATGGCACTAGGTACGTTGAGTCTACATGGAAGGTTCCTTAGGTGGGTCCCTTGAAGTCCTCCCCCTGGGATTGCCGTCTCTTCCAGCGAACAGAAGCATTTGCCCCGATGACTTATTGGGCCCCTTCTTCCCTGAGCTGGGAGCTTGGAGTCCTGGTATCMTGAGAATGAAATGTACACCTCTGTGGCCACCACTTGTAGCATAGACCCTTATTATCTCCACATTTGACACTGCCTTGTAGGGGCCTGTGTGAAGTAGTGCCTGGAGATTGGAACCAAAATGTCAGCTCCTTAGGACAGAGACTTGGTCTTTTTTTTTGTACCAGGGATTGAACTCAGGTGCACTGAGCCACATCCCCAGCCTTTTTTATACTTTATTGAGAGACAGGGTCTCACTGAGTTGCTTAGTGCCTTGAAAAGTTGCCAAGGCTGGCTTTGAACTTGAGATCCTCCTCCCTTAGCCTCCCAGACTGCTGGGATTACTGGTGTGCACCACCTTGCCAGAAATAGACTTTATGTCTTTCTTTTTTGCACCTTATTTCCAGAGACCCAGACATACGTTAGAGCCTCAGAAATCTTTGTTGAATGTGTGAATGAGTGATTATATACAGGCTCTCCAGATAGCCAGTGTTCCAGAAATTAGAATATAATACCCAAACCAGAATTTAAAATCATAATTTGATCTCTTTTCAAAGCAGAGGTCACTTCCTGAGCTCCCACTTCCTTGCATGAATTATTATGAACAAGAATCATCCGTTATATATACGGCTCTGCAGAAGTTTTGGTTAACATAGTACCAAGTAAAGCAGGTTTTATCGAATTCTTCTTCAATAAAAGGGTATCACAGACTACTAATTTATAAAATGAATTTTGAAACACTTATGTCCTTCATAATGACAGTCGTGAGGCAGGTCTGTGAGTTAAGTGGAACTGGTTYCTCCCAGTTCTCGGGTCGTGGCAGTGCTCAGTCGGTCATCTCTGGAGGTGGAGCTCCTAGTTCACGGTCAGTCATGGAAACTCAGCTCATTTCACCCAAGGCAACAGGGACCTAGCGGTGTGTCTGGGACTGCCCTGGACCTGGGGTRTTAGCAGTCTGTGGAGCCAGCCCACGTCCAGATATGCAGTCAGTTACCAAAGAGCGAGCAGAGCACGGCCTGCCAGGCCTGGGCTTTTGCTGAGCTACGAGGCCCTGCACTGGCCCCCTCCACCTTGCTGAGACCTGCTGCTTCAGTGCAGCAGGGAGAACACCTGTGAGAWCGCACCTGGCTTCTCTGATGCTCCTGGAGTCGTACCTGGCGTGTWCGAGAGTGCTGGCGGAAAGAGCCGTGGGCGTTCTGCGCATTTGCCTGAAGTGAAGCGGTGCAATGTGTGTGCCCATCTCGGGGTGACAGCTGCTGAGTCACACAGTGACCCTCCAGCCCACTGACCCTGGCACTCTCTTACTCATCGCCACCTGCCTTCCCTTTACGGCCAGCTCCAGCTCCTCCGACCCTCACTCCTTTCCCAGTTCAGATTAAGCCGACTCTTCGCCTTTTKCGTGAGTCCTCATGAGTAACACGCCGAGGCTGGAGAGCCTTGGGAAGATTGGGAATGGGGGTGGTGATGGTCTGGATGTGAGGTGTCCCCCAAAGCTCACATGTGAGACCAGGCAAGAAGGTTTGGAGGAGGAATGATTGGGTTATCCTAAGCCTCATCAGTAGTGAATCCCTGGTGGGACTAATTGAGGTGGTGGGGTGTGGCTGGAGGGGGTGGGATTGGGATGTGGCTGGAGGGGGTGGGATTGGGGGGTGGCTGGAGGGGGTGGGATTGGGGGGTGGCTGGAGGGGGTGGGATTGGGGGGTGGTTGTGGGCATATATTTGTGTCTGGAGAGTGGAGCTTCTCGGCTCCCTGATGTGAGCTGCTTCCCTCTGCCACACTCTCCCACCTTGATGCTCTGCGTCCCCTCGAGCCCTGAGGAATGGAGCCRGCCTTCTGTGGACTAAGACCTCTGAAACCAGGAGCCCTCAAATAAACTTGTCCTGCTTACAGTTATCCTGGTCAGATCCTTTAGTCACAGCAGTGAAAGGCTGACTAAAACAGAGGTTAAATTCTCAGTCTTCATTTGGATTCAGAACATGAGGAGACGTTCCTAAGATTTTTCTCAAGTAACTTCCGTTTTTCATTTTCCAAGATGATGCTTATTTCATATTTTTCTTTCCCCAACGTATCACCCTCCTCTTCCTTTTTTCTCATGGACATGGTATTTGATTGACAGTGTAGATGCCGTCAGAATTGGAGGTGCCTCCATCTTCCTGTAGTCCACCTATTCCTGTCCTATACCCACGTGGAGAGGCTATCTCTGCCATGTCACAGGCTGACCCAATGTCCTTTCTGTCTTCCCAGAGACTCCATCCTTCCCCTTCCCCACTGACCTTCAGACATGGATGGTTTGGTCCTCTAGAACTAATTAATATTTGGTATCATTTAACTTTTTTTCCCTACAGTTGTTGGCAAGCAGAAATTTTAATATAACTATTCTGGCTGAAGAATTAATATTCCAATATTTATCGGATGAATTGACGGATAGGAAGAGGATTTATGATGAAGAAATGTTGGAACTATCACAGTAAGTACTCATGCTATATCTACTTGCTTTTAAATTCAGATTAAAGAAAAATCCGCTTTGCCTCAGATTCTGGTTGGTTGGTTGGTTGGTTGGTTGGTTGGTTTGTGGCGGAGAAGCTTCTTGGTCTATAAATGGGACAGAGGCTAATTGCAAAATATTGGTGGAAATATATTGCAAGGAATTATAAGAAAAATTATGTAGTGATACAAAATATTGTAGTAATTCTGTAATACGAAATTATGTAGTTGCTTTTGTATCTAAAGAAGTATGACACTGAATTTTTCCAAAGTGAAAAGACAAAGTTCATAGAACAAGAAGATAGTAAAGATCTTACCATTCTTATACCCTCCTATTTAAAACTCATTGCTTTTGACTACTATCTAGCTTTTGCTTTGATTCGAATTTTTTTTTTTTTTTGTACTGGGAATTGAACCACTTAACCACTGAGCCACATCCCCAGCCCTTTTTATACTTATTTAAAGACAGGGTCTCAATGAGTTGCTTAGAGCCTTGCTAAGTTGCTGAGGCTGACTTTGAGCTCGTGGTCCTCCTGCCTCAGCCTCTTCAGCCACTGGGATTACAGGCATGTGCTACTGTGCCCCCCTGATTTTTATTTTAATTTTTTAAACTCGGACTTGAACCCAGGGGTGCTTCACCACTGAGCCACCTCCCCAGCACTTTTGATTTTGATTTTGAGACAGAGTCTCACTAAGTTGCTTAGGGCCTCACTGAGTTTATGAGGCTGTCCTTGAACTTGTAATCCTCTTGCCTCAGCTTCTGGGATTACAGGTGTGCGCCACCGTGCCTGCTGATTAGTATTTTTTTGGAGTAGTCAAAAGCTTTATCTCTATTTCCAATTAAAGTAATACTAACGCGTCATGTTATCTCTCATCAATTGAATAAGCCAGACTTGGCAGGACACTGGATGAGCAGAGAACTTTCTCACACTGTGCACTGTGGCTTCTGTTTCCCACTTAACACTGAAGGGTTTGTTTTCAAGATGAGAGGATCAGGATCGAGTGCTGTTTTGGTGACCAGTCCACCCTGGTCTTTCTGACAGCCCGCACATCTAACTTCACATTTCCCCTTGCTCTGCAGTCTGACCAGGGACGTGCCCATCTTCGTGTGTGCCATGGCCTTCCCCACGGTCCCCTGCCCGCTCCATGTCTTTGAGCCCCGCTATCGGCTTATGATAAGAAGATGTATGGAAACTGGCACCAAACGATTCGGCATGTGTCTGTCTGCTGAGCATGCCGGGTAAGAATGGTCAGCACACCAGTGGTCCTGATTCAGGGCAGGCTGTGTCTTCGTCTTATTAGACCACAGTGTGAAAATCTCCAGTGACTTCCATTATACCAGAGAGTGTGAGTTCATGGCCATCCACAGTGTGAGCCCACCCTTTCCACCTCATCCTGCTCCTCTCAGCCATTGCACTTGCTGCTCCATGTCCACGTTGCTGGCCCTTCTCTGAAGAGAGCTCGTGCTTCCATACCACCAGGTCTAGAAAAGTGGATGCATCCTCCATGAATATTGTCTCTGTTTCCACAGCTGTAAACACRTGCCGTTAAAGACCCCACGGCACTTGGTGTTACTTCTCCGTCTTTCACGTCAGCTGTATAGGGAGGAAGGGACAAGCTGGAGGATGTGACAAGACAGCAGGCTGCTCCTCTGTGGACTGATTTGGAGACCAAGGTCTCTTCTTACCCTTTAGGGACTTGCCAGCTCTGCATGAGCGTGGCCATCCAGGTGCTCTCTGGTAGAAGAGGCACATCTGCCTTTGGGGGATGGAACCCAAGGCCACTTTACCACTGAGCCTCATCCCTAGCCCTTTGATTTTAATCATCCTGAGACAGTGTCTCACTGAGTTGCTTACAGCCTTGCTAAGTTGCTTAGGCTGGCCTGGTGCTTGCAACCCTCCTGCCTCAGCCTCCCGAGTCACTGGGATTACAGGCGTGTGCCACTGTACCTGGTGCCACATGCACTCTTAAAGGATTCTGAGGGAAAAGGGCCATCTCATTTATGCTCATRCCTGTTGTGAAAGAAGTTGGGAAACACAGTCTACCCCTGGGCCCAGGAAGAARGGGACAATGGATTTTTAAGACCACACACAAGTTTCCACCATYAATACTTACAGATGAATCTTTTCTTTTTAAATGGAGTTTTTACTTTATTTTGTTTATTTTTATGTGGTGCTGAGGATCGAACCCAGGGCCACACACATGCCAGTCAAGCGCTCGACCACTGAGCCACAAACCCAGCCCCAGATGAATCTTTTTTAAAAAATACACATAGGACTTTTGTGGAGAAATTCTAAAAGTTTATTGAAGTATGTTTAAGAAGCTCTAAATAAATGGAGAGAAATACCATGTTCATGGATGCAAAGACTTGATGTTATAAAAGGCCATTTCTACTCAGATGGGTCTATAAATCCAAAGTAATTCCAGCCAGCATCCTAGAAGGGTTTTTGCTTGTTTTGGTTTTTTTTATCATGAACTTGCTCAAACTGTTTAAGAATCACTGTGGGGAAACAGGAGACCAAGCAAGATCAGATAGTTTTGAAGAAACCAATGAGCAGATGAGAGTACATTCCTGTCATATCAACTTGATAAGCCACAGTAGACCAGGGAAACAATGACAGAGACAGATCAGCTCATATGTGGACTCCAGAGTGACGTAGTTTGGTAAAAACAAACAAAAC